GGAACTACATATTATTAGTTTCAGCTTTATTACATTTCAGTATCATTTTTAAATTTATAAAATGCACGTTTTGTTTATGAAAATATTATCAACTTCACATCTTATTACTAGTTACTTCTATTTGAATTTTCATTAAATATAATAATTATATACTAATAGTATACATAACAGTTATGCTTTACACATATTAAGTGAAATAAGAGTAAATAAATAAAGACTTCTTTAATAACTAATTTTTTTTTGTTTTCTTTTTAAATATGTCTTGAAATAAAGTACACAAAAACATTGTCATAATTTTGAGATGTTATATTATAGTCCACCGTTTTCTCACGTAAAATTATCGATACTAAAGTTTTTATCACCATTTGCAAAAGAAATTACTACGTTATTTCATTCCATCATTTTAGCTTACTGTAAGACAATTGAGCTTTATTGGAAATACATTCATGTGTTGATAATCACTTTCTTACTGATAGATGCACTATATAATTTATATTTATTAAAAAAGTCATTATACAATTTTAGTTTTATTCCATTATGTTATTATGTACTGCTTTGCTAACAGATTACTGCACATATCTCATAGAAGAGATTTTATTGACAACACATGATTGCATAAGCATCTCTATCATTAGCATATCTTAATTGAAATTTCCAGCAGGTAAGCAAAAATTTAGATTATGACTAGAATTGAGAAAGAAATGTGCCGTAATTATTTTGCTTCTGAAACCCAGCATTTTATTTTGAAATAAAGACAAATAACAAGTAAACATACCATCAGCTTCTTTGGCGTATCTTACAGATTCTACAGTTTGTTCCATAATTCCATCATCAGCTGCAACAACAAGTATCACAAAATCTGTAGCACGAGCCCCTCTTGCTCTCATTGTTCGAAATGCAGCATGACCTGGTGTGTCAAGAAATGTAATTTGCCCATTTGGAAGTTTAACTGTAAAGACACCATACTAAGTAAAATAAGTATGTTAAAAAAAAAAAAAAAAAAAAAGATATATGAGAGAAGATAATTCTTTTATTACTATAACTGGATTTAATTTTTTAACACAAATTAATAAAATAAAGCATAAAATAATAAAAAATAGGCTCTTTTTTATTTTTAAATAAAATGAAATTTCCATATTGTGCATTTAGATTTATTTAATGAAGCACTAGGAAAGCTCATAAAGCATTTACTCAAAGGAAATGTATCAAAGTATAAGATACTTAATTACCTACAAAGGAAATTTAAATCAGATATTTTTCGTTTGCATGCTATTTAAGAATTTTAATGTCTCAAAGACTAAGGCATATTCCTTCCCACTTAATTATTATTTACTAGAACAGCATATGATATTTACTAGAACAGCCATTTTTATATAAAAAGACTCTATAAGATTTAAATAAGTCTCTAATGATACATTTTAGTTTTAGGTTGAATGCAATTTATTCTCTATATTATTCCTTCTCTTACAGTTTATATTAAAAGACTATACTTTATCCTAGAAACAACACACTAGTGGCTATTTTGATTTTTTAGTATATTAAAATGAAACATATATATTCTTCATATTTTTATTTTCAACAATCATATGAAAGCTGTTTTTAACATTTATGATTTAAAGTACTTTTCATCAAATATTAACTATATACACTAGAGGGAGAGAACATGAATTAAAAGAACTGCTAAGAAAATATAATTTTAAACTCTGCCCCTACCTTCCGAAAAATACACAAAATTTTTCCGGTCTGAGCTAACAATAAAATATTTAACCAACATACATTTGTTTCTGATCCACACAAATAATTACAGACAAACAAATATTTATGCATTTTATCCATAAGCAATATATACAAAGAAACATAAATCTGTATCTATGGCTCTTAAATTTTGGTTAGAAAGACTGATAAATTTATGTTCCTAAGTACTGAAAGATTTAAATTGATACAATTTCACACCAGCAGGTGGTCTGTTCTTTAAATAATACTTTAAATTTTAATATATCTTCTCAACTGTCATAGTTTTCAGCTTAGTTAATAGCTGACATATATGAAGCTGATCCTTGAAAATATATGAAGGTTACGAGCACTAATATTTCATGGAATTGCAAATCCAGATACAATTTTCACCTCACTTAAAGCTTTACTATTAGGATGTTTGTGAAAGTTATACCTATTGTTTTTAACTGAAGAAAACACAGAATACTAAAAGTTAATTAGTTAATTATCTGTGATTTAACATCATCATGTATAAACTCTTGTCATGTGTCTTCTAACAGACTGATATCATACCAATGAAATTCCTTTATTCAAGAACTATAAATAATAATAATAATAATAAACTTATGATACTGTTTTCACATTACTGAAGTTTTGGAGACTAAAGGTGTTATAAAGGCTGATCGAAATGCAAGGTTAGAGAAATAAGATGGGTGTGATTACACTTCTCAATCCAAATCCAGTAATTTATGTGAAGTGTTTCAAGTGTTATAAAGCTTTCAGTTCTCAGGATGAAAGATACCTTAGCAACTGATTAGTGCTAGCTACTTAGGTTTCCCTTCTTCTTTAGTCTGCTCAAGTATTGACAGTACATGCTTTATCATCTTCATATATATATATGTGGGGATTTTAAGCGATGAACAAATTAATTAACGAAAGACATTTTAATTACACAAACGATTATTACATAAATTTAACATTTAAGAGAATTAAACAAGTAATGATTAAAGTTCTTTTTGAACAGAAGCAGCGTCTCTGCTCCTACGTCAATCGTCTATCATCTCAAAACGGTAACTCACCTAATTTTTGCTTGGCGCCTTCGGAGCTCGTAGAGAGAATGACGTCACGGCACCTGGTTTTCATCACAACTCCAAGCGATCGACACTACATATATAGTATATATATATATGTATGTGTGCGTGTGTGTGTAAAAAGATGACTTATGGTAAGCTGCAACAGAATGATGATGTTTCTCTCCATTATATTCTGCAGAGAGTTTACTGCATAGTTAGAAAGATGACACTCAAAGGAAAGACTTATAGATAGACATGGCCAAAATGAATATAACTTTTACTGGTGAATACGAACTAATTATCAAACACATATCTTTCATCACACATGATCGTGGGTGCAATATGCACCCCCCCCCCAGTTTTATACAAAGAATATCACATTTTAGATAATGGCATAGTTAGTAACACAAAAAAGCAAACAGAGCGAAGTAACATCTTGACTGCAAAAGAGCTGAAGCTAAAAGTGCACAATTATCCAATATGGAGGCTCATGAAGAGAAGGTTTTGGTTTAGATTAGAGAGGTTTCAGTTCCAAAATTTTGAGTTTAGGTTCTGAATTAGTTATATCATCAGCACTATGCAAGCCATGCAAGGTAGATTGATGTAGAAATGATGCAGTTATGATTTATAGATAGAGAGGGCGAATTATGGGGTTAATATTCGTTTACGTATTTTTTATCTTACACGCACACAAAAATTAACTTTAAATTAGCTTTATACAAATTATATATATGTGTGTTGTATATAAATATACATATCTCCCCCCTAAAGAAAAGATATCTGATTGCCTTTGAAATCAAGAGAGTTTTATAGAAATTTTATCCTGAACTAAGGCTGGTTTTTTGCATAATTCTAAAAGTCAGCAATTATTGTTTATATTGTATTGTACAAAGTATTATTTGACAACACATCACACATGACAAAATCGCTCAGGAACACAAGCTTCTTTTGAGGTCAATGGCACAAACTCAGCATACAATCCCTCCATACTTAGCATTATGGTACAGTATCTGTTGCTCATCTCTTACAATCTATTACAATTCATAAAAAAAAAAAAAAAAAAGGGTTCATTTCTGTAACCAGAAAACAAAGTAGAGGTACATACTGTTATCTCTTGTTGCTTAGCAGAAAGTTGGTGTGAAGAACCTATTAATATAACACTGCAATGAATCCAGGTGCCAGAATGTTTATCAACTATTGTTCTGTATACCAAGAACATTTCTGCTAATGGTTGGATTTGGGTTATTTTTACGACTTTTTCAAGAACATCTTCAGAAACTACTGACAGACATCAACTGATCAACTTAACTGATCATTGCATCATATATCTGCATCCTAGAATTTTAGAAACAACCGTAAATATGTACTTCCGTCAATTACACTGCTCGAGATTGAAAATGCAACACCAAGAAGGAGTGGTCAATCACTGAGTTATGCGAATGATGTGAAGTGCGCAGCGCTCCGACGAACGTGAAGTGAGATATAAGGGAAGGAACGTGCAGAATGGGCAATATTTGTGTCGTTATTTCTGCCAGATGAATTATCGAAGAAAGTTGGTTTTTGTCCCGGAGGATACGTGTAATAGGAGAGAATGCCAGGCCCCCATCAACGAAGGCACTTCCAGCAGATAGATGATTTTACGAGGGGTATGGTGATCGGACTGAGAAGGGCGGGTTGGCCTTTACGCAGCTGATACCCACATGGATGCAAGTACGGTGCATCGGCTATGGCAAACATGGCTGGAACAAGGAAATGTGAGAAGAAGGAGGGGTGCGGGTGCAGCCAGAGTGATGTCAGCACAAGTGGATCGACGCATCCGCCGACAAGCTATGGCGGTCCTGCAAGTCACTTGTACTGCGATTCCGCAGCATGTGCAAGATACCTTGGATATTCCCGTGTCGACCAGAACCATTTCTTGTCGATTGGTTGAAAGTGGTCTGCACTCACGGCGTCCGTTAAAAAGCCTGCCATTGACCCCACAGCACGTTTAGAATGGTGCCGGACTGGAACGATGTGGATGACAGAATGGCGAAACGTCATGTTCTCAGATGAGTCACGTTTCTGTGCAAATTGATGCCAATCTGTTAAAAGTTCACATGAGAGTCTATGCTGACCAGTTTTCTTAATTTTTTCAAATTTTACCTTGCGAACATCTTTCATGCAAATATTTTAATATATTTTTCAGTACTGAAGATTCATATACTTTATAATGATATATTTGTTTTCACATTTTTCATGAATAAAATGGTAGTGCACATCAATGTGCTCTGTAGGTTTTTGAAGCACAAGGTTTCTGATTAACTTTACAGTACTCTGATTATCAATTAAGATAATAATTCCCTCTTTATACATTTCACTTTCACCTACATCTTGCAGAATTCAGTGCAAACACAATACTTCTTTCACTGCAGATGAAGCCCAAATATCTTCTTGTAATGAAAGTTTTCTGCCAAAAACATTCTTAATGAATCTAGAAAAGAAAACCAGAAAGCAGTACCTTTAGCATGGGGATTAATTGCCATCTAAATCTACGATTTTCTTCCAATGTTTTGGTAGTTTTTCAAAGCCTTTGGCCCAGAAACTTGGTGGCCGTGAGTCTAAAAACAGATTAACCTCATTTCAGATGTTCTATGCAGAATGGAAGACAGCACCAGCGAGATGTAGCTGTGTTAAAAAAGGTAGAAGTCCGAAGAAATGATGTTAGGGCTATATGGTTAGGTAGCATAATAGTTCCATTTCAAACACCTTTTACTTAACGATTACAATATTTTATTTTACAAACTTCACAACACAGTGTTTTAAAGGAAGTCTTTTTCTTTCAAATGCCAAAAATCGTTTGACAAAATATGACTAAACATGCCAACATGAACTGTTTAAGCAGATGATATATGTGTCGTTGCAGGAAGCTTTCATTAAAACCTGATATATTCAGCCTCAGAGATAGAAACAATTGATTTCTTCTGACTACATTAAGTTATTGAACCATTTCTAAATTTAAACACACAATCAGAATTTTTTTTTTTTTTTTTTTTTTTTTTTAAGCATCTGAGTATTCAACAAAATGACAAGTATTATTAGCTACTGGAGAATTATCTATGCCATAGTTTGCAGTACATTTCAGGTATTTGAAAATGGATTTTTATGACATTTCACTGCACTTGGT